GGTATGCCTCCTGGGATGAGGTATACCTGGGTGGTCGACAAATGCCTTTGATGTCGACACCCGTGAGTCCAGACTACCATGCTGAGCCAACAAACAGCTGATCAGCTGTTTGTCGGCTCAGTGGGCAGCCATGTAAATTTAAATGAAGCGGCGATTATTTAAATCGCCGCTTCATTTTCCTATGTCTGGTAGCCTAATCTACATGCCTCTGGCGACAGAGGCATGTAGTCTAGACGTACCCTAGGTGTCAGCCAAAATCTTGAAGCACTCTAATTTGTTCTGCAATCAAAATAGAGATCTGACTTGCCCAATTATGAAAAGAAGAAGCATACTGATTTTGTTTTTCTTTCAGGATGGTAAATTGGTACTTTGTTTCTCTCACTTCCACTCCCCAAATTGTGCTGATTAATAAGAAAAGAAAAATATACTTTTAAAGTAGTGTATAATTCAAGAATGCCCTAAACAAGGCTTGCCTGGATCCATCCCCTAAGACTCCGGGCTCTCCCCCCAGCATTAGGGAGCCTATGCAGGTGCTCCAACTTTCCTGTGGGGTTGGAGCACACAATCTACTGGCCTCTCCCACCCCGGGCTCTGGTGTGTGAGGGAAATGTGGGGAGTGTCTTTCTCCTTCTCAGTCTGGGACCACATCAGTGAGGAGGTTGGTTTTTTTGCTTCTCACTTGTGTGTGGCCTCCTGTTGAAGTGCCTGTGGGTCAGTGGCCACCAACTCAAAAGCAGCCCCACCCTGTCCTAAACCTTCTAATCCCTGCTTTTTTTGTATCTAAAATGGACATATTTAACCCTTCCCATATACTCTTGGAAAAGGCTTTCTGCTTATCTGGTAGCCCATCGTTCTTGCTGTAATTGATGTTTGAGTGTCTCACTGGTTTTCTTTCCACTAACATTTTTACCTTCTCATAAAATGATAACTGATCTAGAATGCCATGTGGTTGAAACTATTAAATCATGATTGATTTGGGGAACATTAAACCATCTGTTCTCACCTGTGGGCAGAAATAGAATATTTTCCTATGTATTGGTTTTGATTGCATTATAGGTTTTTTGTCAGTTTTACATTAGGAGTAACTCTGGAGTCTGCATAGAACAGAGCTGGAAAAGGAAAGTAAAAAAGAATCTAAAATGCATTCCATTCCTATTAAAGGAAAAGTAAGTGAAAATCCTTTATGGGGTTTATGCTGCTCCTATTTGTGTCTGTGCAATCCTCTCTGCTCTCCTCCCAGTGTTGGAAAGGATGTGGCCACCATGGTTCAAAAGTATAAATATGGTGGCAATATGCCAAATGAAGTAATCCTGATCACCGGTCCGGAACCATTTACCATAGATCACTAACACCCCCATTTCTTTCTATTTGGAGTGGTTGACAAATGCATCTTCCTACTCAATGCCAAAAATACAAGGATGAGAGGGCAGGAGAACCAGTTACCATTAGAACAGAAGTTACAACGTGCAAAAACTTAGTTTCTTTCCCAGATATACTGTGTTTGGTGAGCTACAGGAAGGAAGATACTCCTTTGATAATCTTTTTCATGATTCCATAACAAAATTTCAAATATGTTTTATTATGGCTTCTTCTATTCACTGAGATATATTGTCCTTGGCATAACTTTATATTATGTCTCTAACTAGTAATACAGTGGGATGTATATTTGTGTATTTGTAGGACTGGATGTTGCAATTACTGTGTGTGGAAACTCACAGTGAAGTGAATGGAAGTTCTGCATGGGGTATGCTTGTACCACTGATTCCAGTATATTCACATTCCTGTATCTATACTTTTCTTTTTGTAATTATAACTTAAGTTCAATACAGTCTTCACTTAAATCCCACATATATTAAAAACACATGCATGGCAATATTTTAAAGTTATTGCTTCTCACAGAAGTTATCTAGTGGGATGGGTTTGTGGGGAAACCTCATAACTGCTTCAGAGTTTTCTTCAGCACCCGGTTGTTCCTTATACAGTAGTATGTTTCCAGTGTCTAGTCTAACTTAGTTATTAAAATCCCAGGCAGTGGAGTTTACACTGCTTCTTTTGGCATGTTATTCTAAAGATCAATACATTTCCCCATCAGTAAACTTTCCTTGACATTCTGAAATGTTTTTCTTTTCTTAAATTTCATCCTAGTTTTGGTCCTGTGTCTCTCTGTATACCACATGCACTTTCTCTCCTTGAAATTTACATTTTCCCCGTTCATGTAGAGTGTTACTGAGTTCTACACCTATAAGCTTTGCTTAGCTGTACACAATTAGGCCCACATGTTAAACATCCCTAGTACAGATGCAGCTACCAAATTTCTTAAGTGCCCAGGGCTCTAGGAGAATGGAATATTATATTATAGGAATAATAACAAGTCTTTCTCAGTTTAAGCTGTTTTTCAAGAATTGCTGAACCAATCAAAAGAGGAAAGTGGCTTCCCTCTGTTTAAACATGCACTTAGTTTTCTGTTTTCCTAGTTTTCTCTTATGGCAGCTTACAGCAAAATTTAGATTTATGTTCAGAGTAATCAGAAAAAACTGTGTAAATTTTTTTGTTATAGTATTTTTATAAGCGTGACAGAGTAGATTTCTGCAAAGCAGCCAAGTGTCTGTTTTGCTATACTCAGCAAAGAACTCACTGAGTTTTTCAAGATCAGTGCATTCTTCTGCTTTCTCAATAAAGATAGTGCATATGTCCCATGATGAATGATTTATAGTAGTTACAAAACAAAGTCTTTCAAATGTCTAGGAAGACTTTAATTTGAAGAGTTGAGGTGAAAATAAAAACTCAAGAAAGTAACCTGGCAAAGCCACTACAAACAAATTGTTGCACACTGTTCATCATTTTGCATTCTGTGACAGTGCTGTATTTTGTTTTGTGTTCTGTCTTGACCATCTGGGTGGCAGCGGAGCTTTTAGTTTTCCAGCTTTTAAAACATGTCTGGTTAAACTGGAAGTTCCCCTCAGACATCCACTTGGGTATAGTTTCTTTTATGCCACAGCTATGCCATGGGAATCAGAGTTATGCTTTAATTAAAAGGGTAATTGAAGTAGTAGATATTTACTAAGGATGTGAAAGTGTAACCAAGTAAATGGCTAACCAATGTGTCTGGGCTGGTTAATGGCCACAGTTACACGCAGGCTCCCGGTACAGTAATTCCTCATTTAACACATGCCCGCTTAACACGTTTTTGCAATAGCACGATTTTTTTTAGGGAACGTTTTTTGAATTACACGACCGTCCCTGGAATAACATGATTTCTCCAGCCGGCCCCCAAGCCCAGGCCAGTAACATGAAAGAGAACCTTATCTTTGGAGACGACCCTCAGTAACCAACCATCCATGTAAGCACAGATGTAAATACCCATTTTTCCTCCAGTCATGCATTAGCAAACACATGTAGAACTATTAGGAGTTCTGTAGCTCCTTGCAGATTTATATGGGCATAAGCTTTTGTGGGTGAAAACCCACTTCATCAGATGCATGCCAATTCCTTCCCCCTTCCCCTTCCCCTTCCCCTTTCCCTTTCCCTTTCCCTTTCCCTTTCCCTTTCCCTTTCCCTTTCCCTTTCCCTTTCCCTTTCCCTTTCCCTTTCCCTTTCCCTTTCCCAGAGCCAAACACCTCCCCTCCCTGCTGTAACCCAGTCCCGTTTCAACTCCAACCTTATGTCCTGGTCCCAACAGACACCACTGCTTGAAATGCAGCCCCCACCTTTTCCATTATTTTCAGTGGGGAAATTGACCCTGCATAACATGTTTTCACTTAACATGATCATTTTCTGAAACATATATATAGTGTTAAATGATGAATTACTGTTCTGGCTTAAAAGCTGGCTCCCGGCATGCACTAGCTCCTGAGTAGCTGCCTGCTGCCCACACTGCTGCCTCTGGTATAGAGGCAGCAGTGCAGTACATGGGGGGAGCCAGCTCTCTGTAAACACTAGGCTCCTAGAGTGCCAGGCAGAAGCTGATATGGGTTGAGAGCTGGCCTAAAAGCTTTTGAACTGGCTCCCCATGTGCACCAGCTCCCAGGGAGCCAAGTGCTGTCCCGCATGTAATGTCTGAAATTTTCAGCAGTTATTTAATTGTATGCATTTTAACATCCCTAACATTTACAGCTATAATTCAGTTTCTGTTTAGCTTTCTGGAACACTTTTCCTTTGGAAGAGGTTTTCCATGCGAAGTCTCTGCATGCAGGTGAACTCATCCAATTTTTTTTTATTATCTCAATGAATTTTAGACAAAAGGGATACTCTTATTAGTATGTGTGCAATTTTCATGTGTCTTTAACCTACACATCTGTATGTATCAACTTCCACCTACATTTCCCTAAGCCTGTTCCTTGTGAGAGAGCATACTTTGGCCTGTACAGGAAAGCCCCAAGTGAAATAATGAATCGTGAGGGCTGATACAAACCTCACATTTTCTCTTAAATTGATAGTATAATAATCCCAGTCTCTCTTTGGTTCACCAAACATGTGCCTGGAGATCATTTCTAGTTTCCTGAATCATAGGACTGGAAGGGACCTCAAGAGGTTGTCTAGTCCAGTGGTTCTCAAACTGTGGTCCCCAGACCACTAGTGGTCTGCAGCTTCAAATCTCTCTCCCACTCCCCATAGCAAGTAAGTGCCCCCCCCACCCAGACCCTGCATCCCTCCCATGCTTCTACACTGCCCCCTGCCAAGACCCTATACCCTGAGCCCATTCCTGAACTCTTCCCCCTGGCCAGACACCACACCCTCACCTTGCTCCTGCACCCTCCTCCCGGTCAGACATCCTCCCCCCAGCCCTCTTCTGATCCCTCTCTCGTGGCCCCACACTGCACATTCCCTTGCTCTTGCCCCCTCTCTCCTCACCAGACACCTAATTCCAGCCTGCTCCTGAACCCCACCTCTCACCCAGGCCTTGCACCCTCACTCCCTCCTGCACCCTGCCTCCCAACCAGACCTCACCCCCTCTCTCTCTCCTGCACACCAGCTCCTGCCCAGCTCCTGTCCTCTCCTCCCTATCACGCTCACTGGGAGCCCTGTCCCACACACAGAACCCCTCATTTTTGTCCCTCTTCCGGAACCTGGTGGGCACACAAAATCCACTAACGCCAAAACCCCAGAAGAGTAAATCCAACTCATAGGAAGCCCTGAAGGTCAGTTCTCCCTATTCCTCCTCCTTCCCTATAGAGATGCAGTGCCAGAGGAGTGCGGTGTCTTCGGGGGGCACATCAGTGAGGGTTGAGGGGGTTTTTTGCTTCTCACTTGTGTGATCCCCAGCTGATTTTTCTGTGGGTCAGTGGCCTCTGATCCAAAAAAGTTTCCCCACCCCTGCCATAAATAAAGAAAACTTTAGAACCTTTTGTGTTGGACATACTTTAATATTTTACTTAAAATGAAGTTTGATAAACTAACATGAGAAAGTTAAAGCGCTTAATAATAATAATAATAATAATTAATAATAATATTCCCTTTCTTACTGATTAAATTAAACTATTCTCCCTAGCTGCTGCACTAGCAAAATGGCTCAAGCATAATTATATAACTATTGGTGAGTTTCCATTAGCAGGTGGTAGTCCACAGAAAGGGTTGCATTGAGCCAGGTGGGCCATGGGCCAAAAAGTTTGAGAACCACTGCTCTACACTCATGGCAAGACTCTTATCTAGACCATCCCTGGCAGGTGTTTGTGGGTGGTAGAGCTGCTGGTCATCTTAATATTGCATTACTTCTTTATGGCAGCAGTGGAATAAAACTTGTGTGGCGATATGCAAAACATGGATTGTTAACTAAACCCCTAAGAATAAGTCTGCTTAAATGTAATGCCATAGGTGGTGAGGCAGGACTCTTCAGTTATAAATAAAGGCCATATATGGCTCTCCTCCAGTGAGATGCACTGTTTGTCATTCAGGAGGCTGCTTGTGGGTGGTGAAAACCAATATGATGTTCCTCTGTGTTTTGTATTTAAAGAGTGTTATATTTTAGGACCATAGGAATTGATAGACTAGATCAGAGCATTGCTCCATCTAGTTAGGCAGCAAATCTGTGACACTGGCCAGTACCAGATACTTCAGAAGAGGGTGCAAGAAAGCTATATTTTGGACAATTGTGGAATAATTTGTCCACAAGGGAAGTTTCTTCCTGACACCTCCCGCCATCAGTCGATGATCAATTAATGCCCTGAAGCATGAGGTTTTGTTCTATTTTTACTTTTAAAATAAAACTGTCTTAATGTTACTTGGGAGGTTTTCAATATTGTTATATATGTTTTTAATTTTTTCTTCAGTCCTATTAAGCTTTAGGTCTCCATGGATTCCAGTGGCACCCAGTTATATAAGTTATGTGTATAATGATCACGAGGAGTGTGTGTATTTGTTCTTAATAGTTGTCTTTCAGTTTCACTGAATGTGACTTCACTGTGTTATGAGAGGATGAACCCAAGTGCTTGACTTGCCCGCTGTATGCCATTTTGTTTTATATACTTTTTATCATGTCTCTTCTGAAATAAACAGTTTCCAGTAAAGTGGCTATAGTATTTTCACTTTTATGATAATCTCTTATGAGAGGGTCTCAGTGATATGTCAAACAAAACCTACTTTTAACTGGTGATATGAAAAGTATGTTAGGAATACTCTGAAATTTTTTGAGATAATTTTATTATGCTTTGGTGCCCCCTTCAAATCTCTCTCCCACTCCCCATAGCAAGTAAGTGCCCCCCCCACCCAGACCCTGCATCCCTCCCATGCTTCTACACTGCCCCCTGCCAAGACCCTATACCCTGAGCCCATTCCTGAACTCTTCCCCCTGGCCAGACACCACACCCTCACCTTGCTCCTGCACCCTCCTCCCGGTCAGACATCCTCCCCCCAGCCCTCTTCTGATCCCTCTCTCGTGGCCCCACACTGCACATTCCCTTGCTCTTGCCCCCTCTCTCCTCACCAGACACCTAATTCCAGCCTGCTCCTGAACCCCACCTCTCACCCAGGCCTTGCACCCTCACTCCCTCCTGCACCCTGCCTCCCAACCAGACCTCACCCCCTCTCTCTCTCCTGCACACCAGCTCCTGCCCAGCTCCTGTCCTCTCCTCCCTATCACGCTCACTGGGAGCCCTGTCCCACACACAGAACCCCTCATTTTTGTCCCTCTTCCAGAAGCTTCCACTAACGCCAAAACCCCAGAAGAGTAAATCCAACTCATAGGAAGCCCTGAAGGTCAGTTCTCCCTATTCCTCCTCCTTCCCTATAGAGATGCAGGGGCAGAGGAGTGCGGTGTCTTCGGGGGGCACATCAGTGAGGGTTGAGGGGGTTTTTTGCTTCTCACTTGTGTGATCCCCAGCTGATTTTTCTGTGGGTCAGTGGCCTCTGATCCAAAAAAGTTTCCCCACCCCTGCCATAAATAAAGAAAACTTTAGAACCTTTTGTGTTGGACATACTTTAATATTTTACTTATGCAGGGGCAGAGGAGTGCGGTGTCTTCGGGGGGCACATCAGTGAGGGTTGAGGGGGTTTTTTGCTTCTCACTTGTGTGATCCCCAGCTGATTTTTCTGTGGGTCAGTGGCCTCTGATCCAAAAAAGTTTCCCCACCCCTGCCATAAATAAAGAAAACTTTAGAACCTTTTGTGTTGGACATACTTTAATATTTTACTTAAAATGAAGTTTGATAAACTAACATGAGAAAGTTAAAGCGCTTAATAATAATAATAATAATAATAAATAATAATATTCCCTTTCTTACTGATTAAATTAAACTATTCTCCCTAGCTGCTGCACTAGCAAAATGGCTCAAGCATAATTATATAACTATTGGTGAGTTTCCATTAGCAGGTGGTAGTCCACAGAAAGGGTTGCATTGAGCCAGGTGGGCCATGGGCCAAAAAGTTTGAGCACCTCTGCTCTACACTCATGGCAAGACTCTTATCTAGACCATCCCTGGCAGGTGTTTGTGGGTGGTAGAGCTGCTGGTCATCTTAATATTGCATTACTTCTATATAGCAGCAGTGGAATAAAACTTGTGTGGCGATATGCAAAACATGGATTGTTAACTAAACCCCTAAGAATAAGTCTGCTTAAATGTAATGCCATAGGTGGTGAGGCAGGACTCTTCAGTTATAAATAAAGGCCATATATGGCTCTCCTCCAGTGAGATGCACTGTTTGTCATTCAGGAGGCTGCTTGTGGGTGGTGAAAACCAATATGATGTTCCTCTGTGTTTTGTATTTAAAGAGTGTTATATTTTAGGACCATAGGAATTGATAGACTAGATCAGAGCATTGCTCCATCTAGTTAGGCAGCAAATCTGTGACACTGGCCAGTACCAGATACTTCAGAAGAGGGTGCAAGAAAGCTATATTTTGGACAATTGTGGAATAATTTGTCCACAAGGGAAGTTTCTTCCTGACACCTCCCGCCATCAGTCGATGATCAATTAATGCCCTGAAGCATGAGGTTTTGTTCTATTTTTACTTTTAAAATAAAACTGTCTTAATGTTACTTGGGAGGTTTTCAATATTGTTATATATGTTTTTAATTTTTTCTTCAGTCCTATTAAGCTTTAGGTCTCCATGGATTCCAGTGGCACCCAGTTATATAAGTTATGTGTATAATGATCACGAGGAGTGTGTGTATTTGTTCTTAATAGTTGTCTTTCAGTTTCACTGAATGTGACTTCACTGTGTTATGAGAGGATGAACCCAAGTGCTTGACTTGCCCGCTGTATGCCATTTTGTTTTATATACTTTTTATCATGTCTCTTCTGAAATAAACAGTTTCCAGTAAAGTGGCTATAGTATTTTCACTTTTATGATAATCTCTTATGAGAGGGTCTCAGTGATATGTCAAACAAAACCTACTTTTAACTGGTGATATGAAAAGTATGTTAGGAATACTCTGAAATTTTTTGAGATAATTTTATTATGCTTTGAAAAAAAATCCTTTAAAATCTAATACTGTAGCTAGCAATTTTAATATTATCTGATATTTGTGTGTCAGTGTGTCATGTGGCATCATCTACAAAGAGATTCTGTTTTTAAATGATTTTTCTTGTGTAGATGGTTTCACCCAAATATTACTGGAGTGGAGGCAGAAAATTTACTGCTGACAAGAGGTGTTGATGGCAGCTTTCTGGCCCGGCCCAGCAAAAGTAACCCAGGAGATTTTACCCTTTCTGTTCGGTAAGTTAAGTGTTTGAGAGGCTCTGTCATTAGTAACCACTTGGCCCAAATGTACAGAAGAGGCCACTGTTCTGTGGAGAGAAATCCTGTTAGTTCAGGAAAATGAGATTTTTGTAATCTACAAGTTCTTCTCCATTTTTGTCTTCTCAGCCAATCATGTTGCTATTTTAACATTTTTTTCTTCATAGGAACCCAAATGGTTTTCCAAGTTGTGCATACCTTGGAAGGCTGTGGATCCAGCCTTACAAGTGAGCCAGAAAAGCGATATTTCAATCAGTTGTTAATTTCTTTACTTGCTACCCATTCAAAGAAATCCATTAAGGTTCCTGTACAAAAAGTAGCAGAGGTGACAGTGTTAGTAAGATTGTGCATGTAAGATCTGTGCTCATTTATACTGCATTCTTGTTTCTCTTCTCCTCCTTGTCACACTGTTAGCTACACTGACCCATTACCTTAAAAACTGACCCATTACCTTAGATAATATTTGCAGTTAAGTTGCTTTGCTAAGAATGTGCGTAGCACCATATAAGTTAGCATGCAAATATGTTCTTTGCACCAATTACCCCACCCCATAAACTCAAAATAAGAAAAGGCTCATAAGGAAAGTCCAAAGTAGGGAATAACCCTTTTTCTTCACTTACTTCTTAGGGATTGCAGAAGTAAGAGGGATTGGAATGAGAATAGAATGGTAACTTGTCAAATAGAGATAAAGAGATCATTCCAGACACCGTTAAGATACTTTCCTATAACAAGAATAAGGAAATATTGAGGTAATATTGTTTGTTAGGAGAAATCATCTAGAGTGTGCCTTCTAAAGCACATGCCCTCTGGGTCAATGTGGGCATAGGAAAGGGGAAACAGGCATCTCTGACACTTCATTATTGGCTTAGATTTTAAGATAGTCTTAGTGGAGCTCAGTCAAGGGAAGGAGACCCTATCAAAAAATCTATGCTTGGATGTGGGACTAGAAGGTTCCTGACTGAGAAGTCCATTTGTTAATTCTTAGTACAGTCTTAGGATGGCCATTGAGCTCTGCTCTTCATTGATACTAGTGCAGGTAGTGGCAAATTGCTTACAGAAGTGGCTGTCTGTGGCTGATTGAAGGGAGCAAATTTGTCTTTAAGGGAAATCCCCCGACTGGGAAATCATTTTAGAATGCCTGGGTTGCTCTTTGGAAGTGGCAGTTGGAGTCTGTCCAGCCTTCCCTAGAACCTGACTGCTCTCTTGGGCAGAGCTGGACTCTACTTGGGGGAAAGAGATATCACAGAATTCCAGTGAGGTGTCTTGTGGTTGCAAAAGACTTCTCTCCCTCGTGAGAATTGTGTATAGAGAGCAGGAGGTTTGTGCAGCTTCTGTTGGAGAATGTTGGTATATCTATACCACAAAAACAAGATAACCTCATGTCAACAAGTCTCAAAGTCTGGGTCAACCGACCAAGGCTTGTGAGGCTTACACAACAGAGTTAAATGCAATAGTGTTTGGGCTCTGAGATCCAGGAAGGAGGAGAGTCTCTGAGCCTGGACTTGAGCTCAAGCCCAAACATCTACATTGTTTTTAGCTCCCTAGTATGAGCCCTTGCAAGCCTGAGTCATTTGACCCTGGGCCCTGAGAATTGCTGCCATGGGTCATCTTTTGCAATGTAGATTCACCTTGTGAGATCATGAAGACTGCTTTGGTTCAGTGGAGCCATAACTAATTATGGAATCAAATAAACTTTATTTTAGTGCTAACTGTTGAACAGCCACTTCCTCTTCTTGTAATCCTTGATGCTGTTTCATTGTCCTGTTGTTAAGATGTATAGTTGAAATAATTTAGATATGCTGCAATTCTTCTGCTGGAGCATGATTAACATATAAAGCTGAACTACCAAAAATTCTAAACTAGTAGAGTGGAATATTTAAGATGATTGATTTGAAACTGACTAACTTGTGTAAGTTTCTTTTTCTTTTTTTCTTTTTCTTTTTCAATTAATGTAATAAACATTAGGAGGAATGGAGCTGTCACGCACATCAAGATCCAGAACACAGGTGACTACTATGACCTGTATGGAGGAGAAAAATTTGCCACGTTGGCTGAGTTAGTCCAGTATTACATGGAACACCATGGGCAGCTCAAAGAAAAGAATGGAGACGTAATAGAATTAAAATATCCACTGAATTGTGCTGATCCTACATCTGAAAGGTTAGAGAGAGAAATAGTGGTGAAAAATAAGAAGGAGCCTGCCTATTCTCCTTCCCACATGCATGTAATTCGTATTAACTTTCAGGATTTGCTTTTACTCATTAAGAAAGGATGGCAGTGCCTTACCTTGCAAGTAGTCCAGCTGATTTCTGTGGCATTATTTGCAAAATAAGTTTTTACTTGACGTGAGTGAGGGTGAGAGGAACTGGATGGAAGAGAATTGGCTCTGTAACTTTCCAGTTATCTCTCATGAATGTTGCAGTAACTAATACAATAAGGAAGTAAAATGTGCAACTCATTTTCTGACTCTTCTTGGAAAATTTAATTGATTGCAAAAACTTCAAAAGGCTTCAGAGAATTATTTGTTACTGCAGTGACTTCAGTATATATTTCAGAGTATATTTTTATCCTTGTAACTCTGTATTGTAGATGGGCTTAAGAAAACAAAAGTCAAATGCAAACACACAGATTGCTGAAACTGATATTTTTAACTGGACAGTAATAGTCAGTAAGATTTCGGACTTTGAATACTTGCTAAGGAAGTACAGCTAAGGAACTCTTCAGAAATAAATGTAGTTCTCTTTGAAAACTGGAATTAGTTAGTCTTGATCCGTTATTCTGCATCATGGCTAGTAAATGTCAGTTTATTCTAACAAGTGGAAAAGAAGGGAAAAATATTAGAATCACACCTTCACAAGGTCTGATGAAACTGTATTCCATAGTGTGTAAGGAAAACATGAAAGCACTGAAATCATGCATGTGAATAAAATAAGCAATGGAAAAAATACATGACAGAAACTGAAGTGTTTAACTGCAGTAACTGAAAATTTTATTAGAACTCATTTCAGCTCTTGTTGATTTTTCTCTTGGTGGCATTCTTCTAAGGTTTACATGACTTCAAGAATCTTAAACAGTTTTCTGAATATGAAAGTTCTGTTTTGTTAATTGTTTTGTGCATAATGTTTTATGGCTTCTGAAGTATTTCTGTACAAGTACATGCCCATGCATGTACTCTCAGTACGTATTTTTTCTAAACCTGTTCTATGCTGGGCTTTTTGAATATCTTTAGCACCATTTGTGGCCATTGAGACCTCAGTTTAGGATGAACATTTTGGCTTATGATAGCTGTTTATACCAGATGGGCTCAGTTCTGGATATTGTGTGGAGAAGGACTTCTTTATTTATCTATTTTTATCTTAATGTACATTTTAGGTGGTTTCATGGGCACCTTTCTGGAAAAGAAGCTGAAAAGTTATTAACAGAAAAAGGAAAACATGGAAGCTTTCTTGTGCGAGAGAGTCAAAGCCACCCAGGAGACTTTGTTCTTTCAGTCCGGACAGGAGATGATAAAGGCGAAAGTAATGATGGGAAATCGAAAGTAACCCATGTCATGATTCGGTGCCAGGTACAACAAAGCAGGAACTTACTGATATTTTTGTTAAAAGCGTCATTTCTGGTTTGCATACTTATTGTGTCAGCAGCAATGTTCCCTCTAATATTTTCCATCTCTGTGTGGAGTTTTGTTATGCGCACTGAGGCATGTGTGGATGTGCACCACCAGTAGAGACACGTGCTGCCAGCTATAGTGCTCTATTAATCAGCTGAATGGTACCTGAATCTGTATGGCCATCCAAGCACACAGCTTATAGGGAACACTGGTCAAGAGGGACATTACAGACTGCTTAATACTATTCAGTCTGCTGATTTTGGTCAGATGCTGCTGTAGGTACAGTAAATTGGTTATTTGCTTAAATTTGACTTCTTTGCTAGTTTTAAGTATTTTGTTGGCATTTTATTTTTCTGACTATCATGCCATAGCTATCTGGGTCAACGCTGGTTATGAACTGTATATATTTGTGACTTTTTAAGCGAGACTTTTAATTTTAGATAATCTAAGCATGAACCCACATGTACAAAGTCTTTCCTCTAACCCTGTGTACCCAGTGAATCTTTCATTTCAAATGTTAGTTTTAACAACATTTGTATCTATATTACTGAGGAGCTTTGACAAAGTTTCCATTTGATTATCAAAAGTCTGTCTCAAAGCCTCTGCTCATGCAGCCTTTCACGTTCACGAATCTTTCTTAAATTTGTTGCAGTCTACTTCTGTTTTTATACACTATATCTGGGAATCTCATCCTTTAAAATTTTTAGAATATACAGTTCTTGTAATAACTATCTTATAAAAAAAGCAAAACTAACCTTCCCCACATTCCTAATATAGAGAAATCAGGAATTTGAGGATTAAATGATACACCTGAATGGGAATGCCCTAAAGATGTTTTGTGTGTGTGTTTGGATGTTCATGTAATAAATGCTGTCCATATTTTGAGATAATTTCCTACCTTTATTCATTCATGTAATCATAAAATTATAGGACTTGAAGGGACCTTGAGAGTTCTTCTAGTCCAGTCCCTTGCACCCTAGGCAGGAATAAGTATTATCCAAACCATTCCTGCAGGTATTTATCAAACCTAGTCTTAAAAATCTCCAATGATGGAGATACCACACCTTCCTAGGCAGTTCATTTCAATGCTTAACCACAGTGACAAAGCTTTTCCTAGTGTCCAGCCTAAACCACCCTGTCTGCAATTTAATCCCATTGCTTCTTTTTCTATCTTCAGAGATTAAGTGAACAATTTTTCTCCCTCCAGTTTGTAACAACCTTTTTATGTTCTCTCTCAGTCTTCTTTTCTCTAGAGTAAACAAACCCAATTCTTTTCAACCTTCCCGTATAGGTTATATTTTTGTTGCTCTTTTCTGGAGTTCTTCCAGTTTGTCCTATCTTTCCTGAAATCCAGTGCCCGGAACTGGACACTGTATTTTGACTGAGGCTAATCAGCATGGAGTAAAGCAGAATAATTCCTTCTTGTGTCTTGCTTACAATACTTATGCTAGCTTTTTTGCAACAGTGTTATACTGTTGACTTGTATTTAACTTGTGGTCCATTATGATCCCCAGATCCCTTTCTGCAGTACTCCTTCCTAAGCAGTCATTTTCTTTTTTGTATTTGTGCAACTGATTATTCCTTCGTAAGTAGAGTAGTTTGCACTTATCCTGAACGAATTTTATCCTGTTTACTTTGAACCATTTCCCCAGTTTGTTCAGATCATTTTGAATTACAATCCTATCCTGCAAAATACTTGCAATCCCTCCTAGCTTGGTATCAGCCACAAACTTTATAAGTTTATTCTCCATGCCATTATCCAAATCATTGATGAAGATATTGAACAGAGCAAGACCCAGGACTGACCCCTGTGGAACTCCACTTGATATGTCCTTCCAGCATGACTGTGAACTACTAATAACTATCCCGTGGGAACAATTTTCCAGCCAGTTATGCACCCACTTTATAGTTGCTTCATCTACATTGTAATTCCCTAATTTGATGATGAGAAGGTCATATGAGATTGTATTAAATACCCTACTAAAGTCAAGATACACCACCTCTGCTGCTTCCCCTCCATCTACAAGACTTACTACTCTGTCAGTGAAAGCTCTTTGGTTGGTTTGACCTGATTTACTTTTAACAAATCCAAGCTAACTGCTTCTTATAACCTTATTATCTTCTGGTGTTTGCAGATCTTTATGTACATTTATCTTTATATGTATTAGCCTTCTTAGTATACTTAATTATTTGAAAGCTTCAGAGGGGTAGCCAAGTTAGTCTGTAACAGGAAAAACTTAAAAAACAACAAATACTCTAGTACAGTGTTTCTCAACCTTTTTTTGCTCCTGGCCCCCTTTTGAGCCTCGTTTACCTCTATGGCCCCCCTCATAGCCGCTGTTAGTCGGAAAAAAAGGTACATAATTTACCTAATGTTTCCTTTTTTCCATGTGGCCCCGTAGAGGTAGGGCGTGGCCCCTGGGGAGCCATATGGCCCACGGTTGAGAACCACTGGTTTAGTAGCACTTTAAAGACTAACAAAACATGTAGATGGTATCATGAGCTTTCATGGGCACAACCCACTTCTTCAGATGACCAGAGTGTTGGAAGTCCAGATCCAAGAATAAATAAGGGAAAGTGGGGGGAGAGGGGGAAAGAAAAATTGAAGGGGAGGAAGAAAAAAAATAGCGAATAGATAAGCTTCAGAGGGATAGCTGAGTGAGTCCGTAACAGGAAAAATGTAAAAAACAACAATTAGTCTAGTAGTATCTCAAAGACTAAATAGTTAAAAGAGGCTGATAAGCGAAAGTTTGGGAAGTAAAATTACTGTTAGAGTTCTCCTCTGTGTCCTCTACTTATCTGCAGCTAATCCCATCATTTCTAGATGAGTTACTATATATTGCTGACTTGCTTTTAAAACAAGGACTATAGTTTTAATAGCTGTATTCCAGGATCCAACGGTAGACTCTGTGATACTTTGGTTTTTATTCATTCACACCTAATTCTCTGATTGTATCGCTCAATATTCTACTTGAGCTGAATATATCAGATAGGGGCACTGTTACCCTAAAAAAAGATAACCTTAATACTGCATTGCTATTTTTTAGTGGGATTTGATCCTATTGAGTCATCTATTATCATTTCAGTCAGAGATGGCAGAGGATTTTTTTAAATACTCGTTTAAGGGACCTTGTGATTGGTTGAACATTCTAAAGAGGTAATTAACTCATACTTTATTTTGATTATTATATACATTGCTATAAATAAGCATATTTTGAATATCTGTCTTGGAAGGAGCTGAAATATGATGTTGGCGGAGGGGAAAAATTTGACTCTCTAACAGATCTAGTGGAACATTATAAGAAGAATCCTATGGTAGAAACTTTGGGCACAGTACTACAGCTCAAGCAGGTGAGCTTTGTAAATAGAACTTTGATTATAAACATGAATTACTTCAGGACATGAAGATGAGAGGGAAGGACGGTGGCAGCTCACCCTTTTTCTTACATTTTGTAAGGTGCTGGAAGACACTGATTCAGCACTTAAAAAGCAAAAATGAATTTACCCTCCTCCTCTACATGAGCATCCAAATCTTTCAGGGAGGTCCAATGACTGCACTTAAGCTGCTATAGCTTTTTTATCTATCTAGAAATTATCTAATTCTTTATTTCTGATGCATCTAGAACTCCGCTGAGCTTCATTGAGAGCTGTGGGCCTAAAAGTATTTTAAAATCTGGTTAGAAAGAGAGGAGGAAAGTAAGCTTAATGTATTGAAATTGGAACCATGAAACTATATTACTGCCACCCCATGAATCTGATTTTGTTGTAATTCTGTTTTTAAAAGAATGTCCTTCTAAGTCTGGATTGATGCTCGGGTCTTAATGCAGGGTATGTTTACACTGCAATGCTATTTTGGGATACCGGAGTATCCCGAATTAGCTATCCTGCATCTTCACAGCAAGCCTGTTATTTCAGGCTCGCTATTCCGACCGCACTGTAATCCTCATTCTACAAGGAATTAGGGATGTTTTGAAATAGTGCTGTATTTTGAAATTTGGCTCTATATAGACAGCACCAAATCATGAAATAAGCTATTTCCAAATAGCATCAAAATAAAAGAGTCAATTTGCGTGGCTCAAATTATTTCGAATTACAGTGCAGTGTAGACACACCGTGAGCGGTACCTACATACAACATTTTTGATACAGGAGAGCTATGTAAGCTAACTTTTTCTTGTTCTTATTGCTATGCAGTGATTTACTATAAAATATCTCTCTTGATTAGCCCCTGAATACAACCCGTATTAATGCTGCAGAGATTGAAAGTCGGGTGCGAGAACTAAGCAAACTAGCAGAGACCACAGATAAAGTCAAGCAAGGCTTCTGGGAAGAATTTGAGGTAATTTAATTATTTCAAAAGTAAAACAGGCATGTCTTAGTTATTGAAATATAATTGCTATAGTTTCCCAGTTGCTTTGGGGCCCTTTGCCCCTCAAATCTTTATTTTTACTCTCCACTCCTGTAACAAATATTGCACCTTCTGCGATTTGCCAGTTCAATTCATGCATTTCAGAGAAGAGTGCTTGGAAGGTGTGCCTGGTCTTTTATGCCACGGACTGAGCAGGGTCTTTGTCAGTGCTAGCACAGTACCATTGTTCCTTACCCCGCTTTGAACTGATGTGCTGGGATAAGGAAAACCACGCTGAAAAGAAATGGCTGTGATTTTGGCATCGTCTTGTTTTTCAGTGGGAAATCTTGTAGACTCTTTTGAAAGCCCCAGAGGCGAATAAGTTTGCATTTCTTTAGTTCTTCCCATGAGAGGATTTCAAATTATTTTGCAAAAAAATTAAACCTTGCATTCCTGTGGAGTAGGTAAGTTGTTATCTTTGCTTTTCTGATTGGCGGAGAGAGGCAGGGATGCTGTAGTATGTCAGTGGCAGAATCCTGGAGTTCTGATGACCAGTTCCCCACTGTAACCACTAGATGGCACTCCCTTCCCCAAAAGTGAAGTACTAACAAGTCTGGTATTAGACATCTGGTTAGCAAAGACACTGCACGTAGTAGTCAAAATAATGATGTTTGTCCATGCTGTTGTAATATTTCACTGATTTTCAGAGGTGCCTCTGGGCAATAGTGTCCAACTTCTAGTGAAATTTGGTAGGAGTTGGACATATGAGGCCCGGTATGCACTAGAAAATGAGATCAGTTGGTCAGGGGTGTGAAAAATCCCCACCTCTGAACAGCATAGTTAAACTGGCCTAAATTCCATGTAAATAGTGCTAGGCTGAAGGACAGATTCTTGCATCAATTTAGCTTAGTGCCTCCTGGGGAGGTGTATTACTATGATGATAGGAGAACCCCTACCATTAGAGTAGGTAGCAAATTCTCTCTAGCCATACACAAATATTTAATTTGCAAGAAGCTGGGAAGTAAGTCTACTGGGCACTACTTTGTCATGGTCTAGTTGTCTGTGTGAACCCTACTGGCCTCTGTTAATAGGGGGCAGGTGAGCAAAGCCCACAGGTAAGTGCTGAATGTGCGGGACTGGGAGATGGGTTGGAAATGGGGGGGACTACGGCCTATAATGGCAAGGAGAAAGGAGGGTCAGGGCACAACAGGGAGGCAAGATCAAATCAGTATCTTAGATGCCTATATACAAATGCGAGAAGTATGGGTAATAAGCAGGAAGAACTGGAATTGCTAACCAATAAATACAACTATGATATCATTGGTATTACAGAAACCTGGTGGGATGGGACACATGATTGGAATGTTGGTATGGAAGGGTACGGCTTGCTCAGGAAGGACAGACAGGGAAAAAAGGGAGGAGGGGTTGCCTTGTATATTAAAAATGTACACACTTGGACTGAAGTGGAGATGAACGTAGGAGATAGCTGTGTAGAGAGTCTCTGGGTTAAGCTAAAAGGGGTAAAAAACGAGGGTGATATCATGCTAGGAGTCTACTACAGGCCACCTAGCCAGGTGGAAGAGGTGGATGAGGCCTTTTTTAAACAATTAACAAAACTATCCAAAGCCCAAGATTTGGTGGTGATGGGGGACTTCAACTATCCAGACATATGTTGGGAAACTAACACAGCGAGGCACAGGCTATCCAATAAGTTTCTGGACTGCATTGGAGACAACTTTCTGTTTCAGAAGGTTGAAAAAGCTACCAGAGGAGAAGCTGTTCTGGATTTGGTTTTAACAAATAGGGAGGAACTAGTTGAGAACTTGAAAGTGGAAGACAGTATAGGGGACAGTGATCACGAAATAATAGAGTTCATGATCTTAAGGAAAGGTAGAAGGGAGACCAGCACAATTGAGGTAATGGATTTCAGGAAGGCAGATTTTGATAAGCTCAGAGAACTTGTAGGTAAGGTCCCATGGGAAGCAAGACTGAAGGGAAAAACAACTGAGGAGAGTTGGAAGTATTTCAAAGGGACGTTGTTAAGGGCCCAAAAGCAAACAATTCCGCTGTGTAGGAAAGATAGAAAATATGGCAAAAGACCAGCTTGGCTTAACAAGGAGATCTTGCATGATCTCAAAATAAAAAAGGAGTCATATAAAAAATGGAAACTAGGACAACTAACAAAGGATGAATATAGGCAAGCAACACGGGAATGCAGGGGCAAGATTAGAAAGGCAAAGGCACAAAATGAGATCAAACTAGCTACAGGCATAAAGGGAAACAAGAAGACCTTTTATAAATACATTAAAAGCAAGAGGAAGACCAAGGACAGGGTAGGCCCACTGCTTAGCGAGGAGGGAGAAGCAGTAACAGGGAACTTGGAAATGGCGGAGATGCTCAATGACTTCTTTGTTTCGGTCTTCACCGAGAAGTCTGGAGGTGTGCCTAACGTAGTGAATACAAGCAGAGAGAGGGTAAGTTTAGAAGATAGGATACACAAAGAACAAGTTAAAAATCACTTAGGAAAGTTAGATGTCAGCAAGTCACCAGGTCCTGATGAAATGCATCCCAGGATACTCAAGGAGCTGATAGAGGAGGTATCTGAGCCTTTAGCTATGATCTTTGAAAAATCATGGCAGACAGGGGAGATTCCAGAAGACTGGAAAAGGGCAAATATTGTGCCCATCTATAAAAAGGGGAATAAGAACAACCCAGGAAACTACAGACCGGTCAGTTTAACGTCTGTCCCAGGGAAGATAATGGAGCAGGTAATTAAGGAAATCATATGCAAACACTTGGAAGGTAATAAAGTGATAGGGAATAGCCAGCATGGGTTTGTGAAGAACAAGTCATGCCAAACTAATCTGATAGCTTTCTTTGATAAGATAACGAGCCTTGTGGATAAGGGAGAAGCGGTGGATGTCATATACCTAGACTTTAGTAAGGCATTTGATACGGTCTCGCATGATATTCTTATTGATAAACTAGGCAAATATAACTTAGATAGGGCCACGATAAGGTGGGTGCATAATTGGCTGGATAACCGTAGTCAGAGAGTTGTTGTTAACGGTTCTAAATCCTGCTGGAAAGGGATAACAAGTGGAGTTCCTCAAGGGTCTGTTTTGGGACCCATACTGTTCAACATCTTCATCAATGATGTAGATATTGGGATAGAGAGTACGCTTATTAAGTTTGCAGATGATACCAAACTGGGTGGGGTTGCAACTTCTTTGGAGGATAGGGACATAATTCAAAATGACCTTAGCAAGTTAGAGAAATGGTCAGAGGTAAACAGGATGAGGTTTAATAAAGAGAAATGCAAAGTGCTCCACTTAGGAAGGAACAATCAGTTCCATACATACAAGATGGGAAGCGACTGTCTAGGAAGGAGCATGGCAGAAAGGGATCTAGGGGTCATAGTGGACCACAAGTTGAATATGAGTCAACAGTGTGATGCTGTTGCAAAAAAAGCAAATATGATTCTAGGTTGTATCAACAGGTGTGTTGTAAGCAAAACTCGTGAAGTCATTCTGCCGCTCTACTCTGCACTAGTTAGGCCTCAGCTGGAGTACTGTGTCCAGTTCTGGGCGCCACATTTCAAGAAAGATGTGGAGAAATTGGAAAGGGTACAGAGAAGAGCAACAAGAATGATTAAAGGTTTAGAGAACATGACCTATGAAGCCAGGCTTCATGAACTGGGCTTGTTTAGTTTGGAAAAAAGAAGATTAAGGGGGGACATGATAGCGGTTTTCAAATATCTAAAAGGGTGTCACAAGGAGGAAGGAGAAAATTTGTTCCTCTTGGTTTCTGAGGACAGGACAAGGAGTAATGGGCTTAAAGTGCAGCAGGGGAGGTTTAGATTGGACATTAGGAAAAAATTCCTAACTGTCAGGGTGGTCAAATATTGGAATAAATTGCCAAGGGAGGTGGTGGAATCTCCCTCTCTGGAGATATTTAAGAACAGGTTAGATAGACATCTGTCAGGGATGGTGTAGACAGAGCTTGATCCTGCCTTGAGGGCGGGGGGCTGGACTCGATGACCTCTTGAGGTCCCTTCCAGTCCTATTATTCTATGATTCTATGAATAGTTGCACTTTGATCTACTTCAATTTCAGAGAGAGCTAGATAAGATTGTTGATGCATGTCAGCAGCGCAACTAGTGGCTGGCTAGCATAAGGTAGATTCACACCCCAGCTTGCCATAAGCTAGGTTTTCATGGAGACACAAGCCTTTTTACCCCCCGAAAATCCTAGCTTTTCTCTGTTGTAGTAGCTGCACTTTGCATGGAGAAAATTGAATGGACTTATTTCCCAAGAAAACTCTGCTTGAATTGCCAGTTAATTTACAAAGATTTTTTTAGATCATATTTGATGGCAGTAAAAGTTTCCAGTGGTTTAAATTGAAGACTGCATTCTTTTTATAATTACATGGTGTTAGCCAATGTATATATGTTAGGCATAGGGTATACCACATTAATATTGTATTACATCCAGCACGTGGGCAATTAATTGAATTGTATTATGCCTTTCCCACAGTTCTTTCCACTTTGCTCACTTATGTCAAGAGATGTATAGCCCGCAACACTGCAAAATTAAATATAGTTTTTGGCATTAGTACATATAAAGCCTGCCAAAGGCAATATATATTTTTCTATTTCCTAGCACAAGTATCTTCATAGGCAACTGGTTTAAAATATGGTGTCAAAAGTAGAGATAAGGAAGGATACAGAACAACAAATTAAAGACCTGGTACAAACTACTGGGTTGGATCTTATGTGACCTATAAAGTGCTTTAAGGTCTCAGAGGGGTCGCCGTATTAGTATGTAACTTTAAAAACAATGAGCAGTCCTGTGGCACCATAGAGACTAATAAGAAATAAATAGATATAGATATATAATCATGAGCTTCAGATGAGTTTGAGTGGAGAGAGTGCTTTGTAACTTGTAAGCAATTGTGCTATAAATATAAAAAGGCGAAGGATGTATTTCTAT